GCTTTTCAGGATCTCAGCTGATAATTATTCACTAGTTGCTGACTATGTGCCTGTATTGCGCGACTGTCTTACGAAACCGCTTCTGGAAAGGGAAACGGATGGAGTTTTGTATGTTTCTTGTTTCTCGTTATTGTTACTGAAATATTGAAGGGGCTCGCTTCGGAGTGGTGTAATACGAAAGCGAAAAAGTGCAAAATTGCATATAATGAGCTTTTCAGTGAGGTGGTGTGCACAATGAATGATTACGATTTGATACGAGGAGGACACTGAAGCCGTATCAGAGTTGGCAGTATGGCCAGGAAAAATAGATCCAGCCAGCAAAATTCTCCCTAAGGTGAGATTTCAATTCTCCTGCACTGGTGCAAGAAAAAATCACAGTCCGACGGTAAAGTAAAAAGAGCTCTTGAGTGACCAGGGTCAAGCGAGGCGTCGAGGAAAATTTGGAAATACGACCCCCCCCCCCCCCCTCCGCCGAGGCCGAAGTCCATGAAACAACCCTCTTCAAAAGCCGAACTATGAAAAGGTTGTTGTTTAATTCTCCCCCAAAACTGCTCATAAAAAAGCCCTGCTACCCCACCGTCCACAAAAAAATTCGTTTAAGAAGTACAAAAGTGAAAAAGTCAAAGAATGATCATTATTGATGAGTCCTACCAAACGAGCAAACGAGAAACAGACCAAAAACGACAAACTAGTCACTAAAAATGGCATACTATGACAACATCTCTTCTTTATTTATTTCCTCCACAAGACTTACCAAATTCTAGTACTACACAGATTGTGGTTCTCAATTTACACGTCCCCTTCAGTTGAAAGAAGCCTTTTAACCAGCTGTGTGTTGACTGGACTTTGGCGTTGACCGTGGAGCAGCTTATTTACTATTGAAATTTGAACAAATATTCAAATGATTATAACTTTCTTCAAATATGACGAATTTTCAATCTGAAAGCAGATTTGGGAGTTTTGTGAAGAGCTTCTTTCTAATCAGTATTGAAATTACAGGGAAGTTT